CTGGACATCCTGCAGCCACAGCTCACCAAGTGAGTGTGTGTGTGTGTGTGTGTGTGTGTGTGTACACTTGCCTTCCATCACTGAGGAGGACCAGTCCCTGATGGAACATCCACATTGTGAGGACCTTGGCCTTCTCCACAGAGAGTGCAGGGGTGTCTGCTCTGTACGAACGTCCTCACATGAAGTTCTAAAACACGCGTGTTCAGCGCTCTGAGCTTCAAACTGTGTTTGTGTGATTGGCTCGTTATTTTTTCTGTGATTAAAAGACAGAAACAAGTTTGTTGAATATTTAAGTGTCTGTGTGTGTGTGTGAGCAGGGACTCGTGGCAGCGCTGTGAAGCCGTGAAGCTGGTGTTTGCCTGGAGTCTTCTGCAGGTCAGTTTGACCTTTGACCCCTTTCTGCTCTTTTCTGGAGCGTTCTCGATGCCACTTGAAGATGTTTAATGAGATGAGTTTGTATGAGGTCAGCAGGAGCCAGGCTCCCCCTTCAACCCGTGTTTAAAGATATTTTTGGTTGCTGATGCTTTGATCGTCCCCCGCTTACCTGTGAGGGTGGTATGGTCCGAACAGGTGAGACTGTGAAGGCAGACGTGTAGGACTGCGGTGAGGCAGGTGTCTTTTATGAAGTGCGCTTCATTCTCATACACACCTGCTTCTTCTCCAGCCTCCATGTAGGAACTATTTCCTTTCTACTGTCTCCATCTGCCAGCCGCACCGCGGAGCAGGATAAAACCTGGCGGGAGGCAAACGGCGCTCCCATCTCGCTGCGTATCTTTTGGCTGGCGGATGGAGACAGTGGACAGAAAGTAGTTCCTCTGTGAAACAGGTTGGAGCTGATTGACCTATCAGGTGCTCTGTCTTCACCTGTGTGTTGGTGTTTCGGTGCAGGTGACCCGCCCAGGACTCTCACCTCACCTGTCCCGCCTCCTTCCCCCCTCCCTCCTCTTCAGTGACCACCACAGACTGGAGAACTGCATGCTGGGAGTTCGCTGTCTGCACCATATCGTGCTCAACACGGTAAA